AGAAAGCGAGCCACTGTGCAACATGTTAGCAGCTGATGAATCCAGGTGAAGTATAGATGAGTCTCTATTGTCCTTTTTGTGTATACTTTCTAGAGATTCAAAAGTGTTTAAACTTAAAAGTTGGAAGTGGGGGAAACTTTTAAAGAGACCATCCACTTCTCACTCTTCCAAAGCACTGTTTTTTCTACATGAATCAAAAATGTCCGTGGGAAAGTCCCATCTTTGTGCACATCTGAGAAGAAATTAAAACCCAGATTAATAAACAGAACAAAACAAAACTTTCTGGGAAGAAAGAAGCAAGCCAAGGAGAACCCCACTGGACCCCAGAGCAGAGAGAGAGCCATCCAGTCGGCGTGCCAGCTCTGGCTTTGCCACTAACTTGAGATTGTTGGACACTCACTTTCCTTCCTATGTACCTTGGTTTTTCGCTTTCAAATGAGGAAGTTGTACTAACTATTGAAATGCAATGCAAGCAACGCATACTTTTGAGCACCCCCCCCCCCCCCCCCCCCCCCCCCCCCCCCCCCCGCCAGGTTCTGTGCCAAGCCCTGGGAACAGGGCAGGAACCAGATGGTACCTGCTGTCCCAGATTACAGGCTTCTGGAAGGCAACTCTTATACAGGGTGGGACAATGGCACGCATGTCCAGAAAGGAAAATGCAGGCTGCTGTGGGAGCATGCAACACAGGGTTACCCCTAAGGAGGGGGAGGGGAGGGCCTCCGTCCTCTCCAGAAAGTGATGTTAAGTTGAAACCTTAAAAGTATTTAGAGGTTAGTCAAAGGGAAGAGGGTGAGGAAAACGCTCGTCTGAGGGAAAAAAATGTTCAAAGGCCCTTAGATGGCAAAGAGGAACCGAAAGAAACTTGGAAAGGCTGAAATGTTAGAGAAATAGATCACCGAGGTCCCAGCTCTATGATTCTTTGTTCTTCAGGTCACGTGCAGAAAGACACTTAGTGTTCTCTCTTCATTTTGGTGGAGACCCAGAGGGCTGGGAGCGTCTTATTCTCTGCTTTTTGTGGGGGTTTCCTATGGATCCCCCAGAGGGCTAGCAAAGTTATTGGAGTGTCTTTGTTGAGGCTTCCTGACAGCCCAGACATGATGTGGGTGCTCCCTCTTCTGGCTCCTAAAGCACCTTGAAAATGTCTGTTTCAACACCTGCTGGGTTGTATATTAAGGGTCTGCTTTTTTTTTTTTTTTTTTTTT